TAATTAATCTAAATTTATTTGAATAATTGAAAAAGAATAAACTTTAATTAAAAATAATAAAAAGAAAATAATAATTAAAATAAAACTAATCAAGATATGAGGTATTAAGGTATCGACTTCATCATAACCAATTAATATAAATTCTAAATTAATATACTTCAAAACCAATTTGTTAAGTATTATTGCATGTGATGACGGATTCCCCTAAATTAACTAACTGACTTTTTCAAGTCAAGTTAATTATTCACTTATTTGTTATATTAGTCATATTTCTATGTAATTTAAAACAAATTAATGAATATTAAATTCTATGGAAACCTTTAACTAGGAAGGGGAGCTTTTAACTCTCTTCTCTCCCTCCATTACCACATGCAATGTTAATTACCTCTAAATCTCATAATCTAACATATGGTTTACATTATTATTAGTCTAATTTATATAATTCTTTCTCAAATTTATGCATAAATTACTAAATCAATTGAAAAGTGATCAGGCTTTTAATGTATTAAATTTAATAATATAAACTCATTATACAAATAATTTTAATTAAAAGTATAAAAGTCACAAAATTTATACCAAATTAATTAACCTACATCATAACCCTAATGAAATAAATTATTTCATAATAAAAATAATAAGACCTGAAATTATAATTATGAATATTCGAATATCAAATAATAGATAAAAGGAATTTAAGGAATCACTACTAAAAAACCTAATATCACTGACAAGAAATCATGTCGGAAACCAAAAGGAGTCTCATCGGTAAAACCAATTTCCAATTTGAATCATGTCGGTGATACATTTGTCGGTGTAAGTCTACTTGGTAATTTATTTACCGATGTGAATTAAAGTCACGTCGGTAATTTAATCCAAATTACCAACAAAAGGCATGTCTCTAACTTGTTGCCGGAACCGTACTCCCGGAGTTCATTTTAGGTAAGTCACGTCGGTAAATTAGTACAAATCACCAACGAGAAGCATGTCCCTAATCTACAGCTAGTTTACTACACGCAAACTAATCACTGATAAGTCACATCAGTAATTTACCGACAAACCTAACGTTGGCACTAATTATATTTTTATAATATTCCTCATTCTTTCACCGACAAAGCTACCATCGGAAACATTCATGAATTTGCCAAAAAAAATTAAAAATTTATAATATTCCTCACTCTTTCACTTGACAAAGCAAAAAAATTGGTATATGAATTTACCCCAAAGCAAAATTTAATCAAGTTACCTGCAAGAATATTGTTGAAATTAAAAATTACTTCAATTATAGAATTGATATATATAGAGCACAATTTCCTAAAAAAAGATAAAATATAAAT